AGCTAATACCATCCTCAGTGGGGAAAAACTGAGAGCTTTCTCCCTGAGATCAGGAACACAACAGGGATGCCCACTCTCACCGCTGTTGTTTAACGAGTGTTGGAGGTTCTAGCATCAGCAATCAGACAACAAAAGGAAATCAATGGCATCAAAATTGGCAAAGATGAAGTTAAGCTTTCACTTTTTGCTGATGAGATGATACTATACATGGAAAACCCGATAGACTCCACCAAAAGTCTGCTAGAACTGATACATGAATTGAGCAAAGTCGCAGGATACAAAGTTAATGTACAGAAATCAGTTGCATTCTTAAACACTAATAATGAAGCAACAGAAAGACAAATAAAGAAACTGATCCAATTCACAATTGCACCAAGAATTATGATTTTCTTAATAACATTGTCTTTTCTCTAGCTTACTTTATTGTAAGAATATAGTATGCAATACATATAACATACAAAGTATGTGTTAATTGACCATTTATGTAATTGGCAGGGTTTCTGGTCAACAGTAGTAGGCTATTAGTAGTTATGTTTCTAAGGAGTCAAGTTATATGTGGATTTTCAACTGCACAGGGGTTGTTGCTCCTACCCCCTTGTTGAAAGGTTAACTGTAGTGGATACATTACTTAAAGTTGCCTATGTTCATCCTCTAACAGATTTCTAATAGTGTATGAAATGCTTTTAATTCTCTCATAGAACAGATTCATCCAGTTCTGTCTTTTAAAATTCTTTTACAGAGACTGCAGTATGTTTTTAGTGCTTAGAAATCTTGCTGAATGGGGTAACATAGCATAGCCTTACTTTAGAAAACTTCGCTGTTACTAGAATTTATCTCTTTGCTACTTTTTGGAAACAAAGGCCAGTAAAGTTGTCTTAAAAAAAGCAAGTCAGTCGTAATGCCTGTTTTTCATGAATTTTCCAAGTAAAGTTTTGTTATTGAGCTTATTAGTATTACGTTTGATAAAAGACAAATATTATTGCTGACAGGGAATGAATGTGCACCCAAATAATCTAACTGCAACTTAATATGTTCTTTTCTTTTTAGAGACATGGTCAATTTATTTGGATATAATAGGCCTGCTCCCTTAGTTTATGAAATCAATTTCCTTAGAAAACATTTGAGTACCTACTGTATTTAAGGAATCATCCCCACATATTTTATTTAAAAAAACCAAAAATTTATTTTGATCTTTAACTTTTATTCCTAAGTAAGCATTTTTTGTTAGCATTTAATTATAAACTTTGGGATTTGTTTGGAAATGAAATGTTTATAATACTGTCATTTCACATTTAATGATGATAAAGAGGAGTTTGCTCTACTCATCTTAGAATTAAGCAATTTTTGTAACCCATATTTTCTCTAGTTTTAATTCCATTCTGGATCATTAAATTTAGTGACAAAAAATATTTCTGGTATAGCTAATCAGAATAATTGCACAGGTCTCAAACTCAGATGCATGCAGGGACCAGGAAACTAATAAATGTGTGAACTTTCCTGGATTGTAACACCATAGGGAAGGGACCGTGGCTGACTAGACATTATATCTCCCTTAATAAAACGGCATTCATACGAGTCACTGTGCTGATGACAAATGTGTCTGGTGGCTGAAGAGTACACAGTGATAGGCGTTAGGGTTTAAATTTCCTGAAAACTTCCAGAAAGCCTTAAAGTAGAAAGAAAAGGTGATCAAAATATTCAGATTGTAGACAACTAATTTGTTTTTTTTTCTTGATTGTGTTTTTTATTTACACGCTTCCACACAGTGGCCAGATCTCTGCATTTAAAGATCCGTCTTCCTCAGTTCCACCTTTCATATCAAATGGAGTCAGTGTGTCTTCACAAACACCTATGCCAACACCACAGCAGACCCAGAGAAATGAACCCAGGGCTCAATTACCAGATTCTTCAGATTCTGTGAGGCAGATGCTCCAAGATGAAATGTTTAAATTAGTTCAGGTAAGTACATATCCATATAAATAAGTAAATCGACATGTGTGCTACATATGTAAGGGTTTGAAATATGAACAAACTTTTAGAAACTAGAAACGGACAAGTTGAAATTAAGTTGCAGGGTTTCTCTGCTTGGGCACTCAGTGCTCCTGTATTAATTTTTAATAATTGGAGGAAACCTGTATTTTTTTAACCTGTGGTGTTTCCCTACTGGTGTGTTTCATTAAGTACAAATTCTTCTATTGGGCTTGAAGGACCCACAGCCAGTTTTTACCTTCCCTCTTTTCCCATCATACTCTCACGGGTCCAGTGGTTCCCAGAGTGTGGTCCCTGGATCAGGAGCATCAGCATCACTTAGATGTTAGAAATACAAATTCTCAGGCCCCCATTCCAGACCTGTTGAAATCAGAAGCTCTGGGATGGGGCTCAGCAAAGAGTGCTTTAAGTCCCCTAGGTGATTCTGAATCATGCTAAAGTTTGAGAACTAACACACTCACCTGTCCTCATTATAGCTGCTATTAATTTCCCTTGCCATTTAAGCCAGTGTTTGTGCTAGTGGTTCCTAGGCTTTTCTGCATCCTGAAATCACCTTGTCATCTTAAAAAATACTAATCCCCAGATAATCTGATTTTATTGCTGTGTGGTGTGGTGTGGCCGTGGGGATTTTTAAATGCTTCTCAGGTGATTCTAATGTGCAGCAGAGTTTATCAACCACTGGTGCATGCCTTTGCCTTTCACCTAGTCAGCCTTTCTATGGAATTCTTCATTCTTCACCTGTTTGCTAATCTTTGCTTTTTTTTCCTACTGAAAACCTGGTCACAACACACTCATTTTAGGACTTCTTTAATTATCCTCATTTCATCCCATCAGATCACTACTTTATGGTCCCCGGGATGTTTATGTAAACTGCTTTATTGATAGTCCCAAGTCTCATTATGATTTTATATTTCCAGTTGACAGCTTCTTGAAAGCGGGGAGCTATTCTTTTCTTCCTTTAAAAAGAATCTCTCCCAGCTTTGCTTCCTGCTCAGCATTCATGGGTCTGACAGATAGTAAGACAAAAGTATGACTGTTGTGGGAGTGCTTGGGTGTGGCTCAGCCGGCTTAGCCGACTTTGGCTCAGGTCATGATCTCACAACTCTGTGAGTTTGAGCCCCATGTCATACTCTGTGCTGACAGCTCAGAGCCTGGAGCCTGCTTTAGATTCTGTGTCTCCATCTTTTTCTGCCCCTGTCCTGCTCATGCTCTGATTCTATCTCTCAAAAATAAACAAACAAACAAACACTAAAAGTATGACTGTTGTGAAATACTCAGATGATTGTTGTTGATTCTTTAGATTCTTTTCATTATATTTTAAAATGTTTAAATTTTATTTTATTCTAGCTGCAACAGATCAACTTCATGAGCCTAATGCAAATAGTAGGATCATCCTTTGCCAACCTCCCAGATATACATCAACTTCTACAGCAGTCTCAGCCTGTTCGTTTGGTGGGAAGCCAAGTATCAAACCCCACAAGAGGGAGTAGTGATGTTGATGACACCAGTAGAAATTTTAAGGAGAAATCTTTTATTAAGCCACAGTCCATGGGAGAGTATACCAGAGAGCCTGGTGAGAAGAGTCCACACTGCCATAAAGGAATTGTGCAGGATGATCAAAATAGTAATGGAAATGTGCAGGTAATACATTTAAAAATATCATTAAAAATGGTTCTAGTAGCTCAGTTTTTGGCTTTTTGTGATTTGAGCAAATAACTTTTTAGCACTTATTACATTCCACCCCCTTCAAAACACTTTGCACATCATTAACAAAATAAGACTTTTGTAATATATTCTAAACTTACATAATAGCTTTTTTTCTCTTCTAGAATATACCACATGGGAGTATTCCTTTATGTGAGTCAGAAGGCCCACCTCAGAATACAGGATTAACTCCAGCATCTCAAAGCTTACCAACTCCTGCACTGTCTTCAGCTCCTGCTGGAAGTACTGCCCTCTACCTTTTGTCCCCATCTTCTGCCATTCTGAAGACACCTAGACTAATCCCAGCTGCAAAAACCTTCAGACCTGGTGATGGTTTTCCTTTGCTTCAGTTTCAGCCTAAGCATGAATTTAAGCCCCTTTCTTTCCATACAGGAAGAGCCCCACAAGTTCCCTTCAGGCCCCCGCCACAGCCCAGAGAGGCTTGGGGATTATCTGATTCCTTCCAGCCTCCATTGCTACAGAAAGCAATGCACATGACTTCAGTGCCCCATCTGAATTTGAGCCAGTATAATACTGAAGCCACAAAAAAAGCAATGGAGCAGAAGAAATGGGCAGAATCTGTAATTACAGAAATCCCTAAGCGTGTGAACGTGGATCAGTGTGTTGGACATGAAAATTTGACATCTCATCAGGACTCTTCAGTGTTTATAAAACCAGAAAAACTACTTGATGTTAAGCCAGAGTCCCTTGAAATATGGCCTCAGAATTCCTTCGGACTTCCATTATTGCACCTGCAACTTAAGCCTCCTTATATATTTTCCTCTGCCTCAACAGCATCAGTAAAAATTCCCTCAATACCTATGAGAACTGTAGCAGAAGAAAGAAAATACCCAAGACTTTCATTACTTCATTCATGCCTATCCCCGGAAAATACGGTAATGATTGTGGCAGAGTGATGCAAAAGCAGTCCTGCATTTTTCATACCATAAATCCTATACGTGCAATTACACTACATTCCTTTTTTTTTTTTTAATTTTTAAATTTTATTTAAATCCAAGTTAACATATAGTGTAGTAATGATTTCAGGAGTAGAATTTAGTGATTCATCACTTACATGTGACACCCAGTGCTCATCCCAACAAGTGTCCTTAATGCCCCTTGTCCATTTAGCCCATCCCCCCACCCAACACCTCAGTTTGTTCTCTGTATTGAAGAGTCTCTTATGGCTTTCCACATTTCTTTTTTAAAAATAATGCTTCTAAAATTTTTTAAATAAAACTAATGCTTCTGTTATTGGAAATAACATAAAAATCCAGTTTAAAATGGTAATTAGGTATTTTAAAGCTTTTGGATCTGTCTTGTATACCAATACTAGAATTTGTCAGACTTTTTCATAGGTATTTCTTCTGCTCAGACAAGAAATAAGTAAAATAAAATGATCGGTATTCTTGTTCATATGGGTAAAGGTGTGTGTGTGTGTGTGTGTGTGTGTGTGTGTGTAGAGTGTGTGAGACGCATGTGAGGAGAGCACCACATTGAAGTCTTTTATATTAACATTCCTAGTAATTGTGATATGATTGCCTTCAAATCTGTTACAGTTTAAAATTGTTAAATAGACCCAGGTCTGTAAGTAGTTGTACATAATGGTGTATTTTTAAAAATTTTTTTTTCAACGTTTAATTATTTTTGGGACAGAGAGAGACAGAGCATGAACGGGGAGGGTGAGAGAGGGAGACACAGTCGGATCGAAACAGGCTCCAGGCTCTAGCCATCAGCCCAGAGCCCGACGCTGGGGCTCAAACTCACCGGACCGCTGGTATTTAGAAAACTGGCGGATTTGCATGGAAGTCGGACGCTTAACCGACTGCGCCACCCAGGCGCCCCAATAATGGTGTATTTTTAAAGTAGTTAAGAGGTTGAATGTTTATAAACCCACAAAATCCCCTTTAAAGTTGTAAGCTTTAGTTTATGAAATTCAAATTGTTTACGCTCTAATTTTTTAAGTCAGTAGTACTGTCTTAGGAAGGTAATTGAAATTCTCTAGTACACTTTTAAGATTTGAAGATAGTACTGGGAAAAGAAATGGTCACTCTTTAGAAGTACTTATCATGCCGCCTTTTTTTCTGAACATATTATGAACAAAAAGGATTAAAGGTACAGAAAAGTAGACATTTTGAGGGGGATTTAAAGAAATTTTTTTTATTAGAACAGTATAATGAACCAAGTTCTATCATCTGACATCAATATTTGTCAACACACTGTTAATCTATCCCATCCATAACCTCTACTTGTCTGTATCCTCCCTGTTCCAAAGAATTTTAAGTCAAATGATAGACATTATGTATTTTATTTATAAGATTTTTAACATAGAATAGAAATTAAGAAGGTGAGGACTTCTAGCTTAGCTTCTGAAGTAGGAGGACCCAGCTGGAATTTCTAGCACTCTAAACTTATTTATTCTTTAAGCTCTAGTTACTCGTTTTACAAGTCCAAATCAATTTGTTATCTTTGACATGTTCTGTCTCTCACATTTTAATTTAAACAAAGGTTTTTCTCAAAAATTTTTAATGTATTACATAATTGAGGTTTATAACTTTAAATTATTATGCTTTATTTCTTATAGTACAAAAACCCACAACTTATTCCCCTTGAGAACCTCATTGCATTCAAACAAAGCCAAGAGAAACTAGCACCTAATTTATTTGAACAAGGCGATTTTGGACACCTTCGGCTTCTAAAGGTCAAAATAGAACCATCTGAAGTGAGACAAGGAAAGGACAGTAAAAAAAGGCAAGTTTTAAGTGGAATTTTATTTGAGACTATCACTTATCTGCAAATTTATTATTAGTTGAAAAAAATATAGTTAGAAAAGTGAAAGTTATCTGGTTCAACCTCCCAGCCTGTACACAATTGAATATTCTATTTTCATATCAAGTGTCATGCATTTGAACACGTCTTGTGATGAGGTAAATTCCTATATTGTGACAGATAAATACTGTTATTTTTTCCATTTTATTAAGGAATTCCTTACTGGATTTCTTTTTTTTTTTTTTTTTTTAATGTTTTTAACGTTTATTTATTATTGAAAGATAGAGTCAGAGTGTGAGCAGGGGAGGGGCAGAGGGAGAGGGAGACACAGAATCTGAAGCAGGCTCCAGGCTCTGAGCTGTCAGCACAGAGCCCGACACGGAGCTCGAACTCACAAACCACTAGATCATGACCTGAGCTGAAGTCGGAGGCTTAACTGACTGAGCCACCCAGGCGCCCCCTTACTGGATTTCTTAGGCCAGAAGATTCTTTTACATTTTTCTGTAACATTATGAGCAGTTTTATTTTGTAGGATAAACATTTGGCGTCTCATGCAATATTCCATGTACTATCTAATACACTGAAGTAATATTGTTAATTCATCTTACCATATCCTCCAGATTCTTACATAAGGAGCAGGGGGGTAAGTGATGTGACTTGTTTCAGGACACTAAGAAACATGCATGTAAAAAAGCACGGCTATGACTTCTTCTTTTTTTTTTTTTAATTTTTTTTTCAACTTTTATTTATTTTGGGGACGGAGAGAGACAGAGCATGAACGGGGGAGGGGCAGAGAGAGAGGGAGACACAGAATCGGAAACAGGCTCCAGGCTCTGAGCCATCAGCCCAGAGCCTGACGCGGGGCTTGAACCCACGGATGGCGAGATCGTGACCTGGCTGAAGTCGGACGCTTAACCGACTGCGCCACCCAGGCGCCCCGCACGGCTATGACTTCTAATAAAGAACATTTATAATGTTTTATTCATAATGGGTATTCAAAAATGTATTGACTGGTAGGTTATTAAATAAACATGAACAGTTTTGTTTATAAGGATTTTTTTACATATTGTGTATTGTGTATTGAGTCCAGAAAATATTTTTAAAATTTCACATTTATCAGACCCTAAAATCTGATACCAGTGCCCTTTTTCCAGAAATAGTTCCTTCCTTCCATCTTTTTCAGGTATTCCCTCTTCAAAGTAAGTCTTCTTCTTGACTTTTTTGGGCCTTCTTTCCTCCTTGCTGGGATTTCAAGGTCACTTAAGTGTGCTTAACTTCTTCAAAAGGGTCAGTGGAGGTATCCCATAGGGCTTCTGAGGTCAGCTTAGAGTCTGCAGAAAAGAGAGTTTGAAAATTACCTAAAAGGTATGACTCTGACCTGAGATTCCAGAAAAAGTTCAGTAGTTGAGGAACTAGAAACAGCTTTCGTGTGTCCCTGACATTTGCTTATATTTGCTTGTGTTCTAGCAGAGTATCCTGCTAATTTAATTATATATACCATTGAAAATAATTTATTGACATAATTTTGATAACTGTCTCCCTGTATAGCATGATATAAGTAAAAAACTGATGTTACTAAAACAGTAAAAACATATTTTATGCTATTTAACAGACAAAGACGACGAGCTGAGAAAGAGCTGCAAGAAAAAATATCAGAGAAGCTAAGGAGAAAACCAAGTGTGGCTTTCCAACCAGAGAGTTCCATTGTTAATGATAATGATTCAGAAATAGTTGTGAAATCCAAGGTACAGAAAAACTGCTATACATTCTTCCCTGCTTTGCATGTACACAGAGTTTGGAATGTCTCTGTGGTTTATCTAGTCTTCTGATTGCCGAAGCTTCTGATTGTGACTAGGAGAATCTTTACATCATTTAAGATGTGAAGCAGATACATAAACCTTGCTGCATCCCTTCATGGGACAGTGGACATACAGTTGCAAATGTGAAAAGCAAGTTGGTGGTAAATCAAAAACTATAGTGTAGAGCATCTGCCGGTGTGACTTTCTTATATTTAATCACTCCTTGCTTTTTTCTCTGATCTCTTAATGCATACCATATATGTTCTTTGGGTTGCTCCTAATACAGTTTAATCTCTTTTAGATGCCTCCAGCATTTCCCACACATAGGTTTGTTATGTAACCTATATATTTAAGTCAGATCTTTTCAAACATTCCTTCTAACTTTGATGACTGTTTACTTATTTTTGCAACAAATTAAATAAACATGAACAGTTTTGTTTATAAGGATTTTTTTTTCAACGTTTATTTATTTTTGGGACAGAGAGAGACAGAGCATGAACGGGGGAGGGGCAGAGAGAGAGGGAGATACAGAATCGGAAACAGGCTCCAGGCTCTGAGCCATCAGCCCAGAGCCCGACGCGGGGCTCGAACTCACGGACCGCGAGATCGTGACCTGGCTGAAGTCGGACGCTCAACCGACTGCGCCACCCAGGCGCCCCTATAAGGATTTTTTAAAAGCACACTTCACTAAGTCCTCAAGAGCATGTGGGGAGGCACTTAGTAAAAATGTTGACTTCCTGAGCAGTTTTGATATGGTGGGTTACCATTTGAGTGTTAAAACTGCTCTGCAGTAGAGAACATTGCAGTTTAGTAACTGCATTAAATTAGTAATGTTCTTTTTTATTGTTTGACTTGTGAGTTTTGTGAACTCCTTCGTAGAGTTACTTTGATAGAGTAAATAAATATTTCTAGGATAGGTTTCAAATCTATACCTAAAAATTCAACAATTCTCTTAGCTATTGAATGTTTGCTTCCCCCCACCCCCGTTGCCCCCCAAATAATGAATGTCTTTGAGTTACAAGATTGATCATTTGGGGATTCATTTAGGAGCAACAAGAACATGGTGGTTCCCAGCCTTTGGATGATTTTGACATTCCTTTTGGTATGTATAAGCATGATTAATGTAGTATCTCAGTTCAAAGTTAAAATCAGCTTTCTAGAATTATGTGTATAAAAATGAGACAATTATTTTCAGTTTATCTTTGACAAGATTGAGTGTGTGTGTGTGTGCGTGCGCACGTTGTGTTTTGATGTGTTATCCGGTAGAGCAGTGGTTGACAAACTATGGCCCACAGGCCAGATCCAGACCATGCCTGTTTTGTAAATCAAGTTTTATTGAAACACAGCCATGCCTATTTATTTACACATTGTGACAGATTTTGCACTGCAGCAAGGTTCACTTGTTGCAAGAGGAGCCACATAGAATGCAAAGCCGAAATATTTATTATCTTGCCCTTTACAGAAAAAACCTGCTGATCTCTACCGTATAGCAGTGCAATTAATTAGAATCTCAAATAAGATACTGATATATAAGGCCTAAAAGGAAATTATGGAAGAACATGCCTGTCGAATTCCTCATAGAAAATACATGCACATTAAAGTAAGGAATCAGTTCAGAAAAGAGTACTTGCTTAGAAGATAGTACATTCTCTTCTTTCTTCAGTTGGTCAGTTTACTTCTTGCCACCAAATGCATGTATTCCCCGGGGCTTTCTCCTTAGTAATTTTCATACACACAAACGGTCACTCTCAGGACTTCAGCTACACTCAAATGATACTCAAAGACACATCTACCCTCCCTCATCTTTCTTTTCTACTTTCACCTTAAACTTAACATGTCCAAATTTTAAACTGGCATCTTGGCATTAGTGATGTCACCATTCACTTGATCGGTGAAGATTTTTACCTTGAAAGTCACCCTTGGTTTACCCCTCACCTTTGTTGTCCCACTCCTTCACTCAGTCCTTGATGTGGTCCTCCCTCTCTTTGTTGATATCACTGCCCTGCATCAAGCTTCTGTGTGCCTAAACCAAGCAGTTTTTTTTTTTTCCTAACTGACCTGCTTGCTTAGCTTGCTAATCCGTTTAGCATTCTTTCCCACTCACTTGTCTTAAAACCAGTTTCTTTTTCATTCTTAACAGTGGTTTGGGTTTTTTTCTTTTCTTTTCTTTTCTTTTTTCTTTCTTTCTTTCTTTCTTTCTTTCTTTCTTTCTTTCTTTCTTTCTTTCTTTCTTTCTTTCTTTCTTTCTTCTTTCGGCTTTGTGAAGGTAATACTTGTTCACTGAAGAAAATTGAGAAAATACAAATAGGAATAGGAAGAACATTAAAATCTACCCCCCCCCAAATCTCCCATACATTTTTAAAAAGTTTATTTATTTATTTTGAGAGAGAGAAAAAGAGAGAGAGGGGGAGAGACAGAGAGACAGGATCCCAAGCAGGTTCCACACTGTCAGTACAGAGCCCCATATGGGACCTGAATCCACAAACTGAGATCATGACCTGAGCTGAAGTCAGACACTTAACCGACTGAGCCACCCAGGTGCCTGTCTCATAATTTTTCTGTTTAGAGATAGCCAGTGTTAATATTCCCCCAGGGTTTATTTTTTGAATGTCCTTACTCATATATATCTGTAAATACATATATACATATATACATATGTATACATTTTATTTATATACGTTTTTTATATTAGATATTCTACAATATCATTTTAAGTTTATTTATTTTGAGAGAGAGTAAGCGCACGCAAGCAGGGGAAGAGCAGAAAGAGAGGAGAGAGAGAATCCAAATAGGCTCCGTGCTGTCAACAAAGAAACCGACATGGGGCTTGATCTCACGAACTGTGAGATCACGACCTGAGCCAAAATCAAGAGTTAGATGCTTAACCTACCGAACCACCCAGGCTCCCCTCTACAATGCCATTTTTAATGACTGCATAGTATTCCCATGGATGTGTGTTGTGTGTATTTCAAACAACAATAATTCTCTACTTCTCTGACACCAGCTGGTGTCCTATAATTCACGTCAAGTCTGACAATAACCCAGAGTTAACACAGATGTCACAGATTAGTGGCTCAGTCCCAAAAGACTGACCAATTCAAGCTATCAGCTACAAACGGGTCCCTATACACTTGCATTTTTGTCCAGGCAACTACAAATTCAGGTATTGCCATGACTCACCCTCCAAGTTTACTAATTTGCTACAGTGATTCAGGAACTTAGAGAAATGCTTTACTTAAGGATTACAGTTTTATTATAAAGGATACAATTCAGGAATAGCCAAATGGAAGAGATGCATAAAGGAAGGTATGGGGACTGAAGGCACAGAGCTTTCATATCCTCCCTGGATATACCACTCTTCCAGCACATCCCCTTGCTCATCAATCCAGAAGCCCCCTTAGCCTCATTGTTTCAGGATTTTTATTGAAGTTTCATTGTAAAGGCATGATTGATTACATCGTTAACCATTGGTGATTGAACTACATCTCCAGCTGCTCTCCCCTCCCCAGAGGTAGGGGTGTGGTGGGGTTGATTATAGTTCTAACCCTCTAACCATGTGCTTCGGCCCTTTAGTGACCAGCACCTATCCTGAAGCTATCTAGGGGCCTAACGAGTCACTTCATTAGCATAAACTCAGATATAATGACAGACACTCCTATTACTAAAGAAATTCCAAAGACTTAAGGAACTTCATGCTTAGAACCAAGGATGAAGACTGTGTGTGTGTGTGTGTGTGTGTGTGTGTGTGTATTAAGTGGGCTCTGCACCTAGCACGGAGCCCAATGTGGGGCTTGAACTCATGACCCTGAGATCAAGACCTGAGCTGATATCAAGAGTCAGGACGCTTAACCAACTGAGCCACCCAGGTGCCCCTATATGTATGTTTATTATACTACCATGTGCCATAATTGATAATCTCTTACTCTTTTTTTTTCTTAATTTTTTTTTTTAATGTTTATTTTTGAGAGACAGAGAGAGAGTGTGAGCAGGGGAGGGGCAGAGAAAGAGGGAGACACAGAATCTGAAGCACACTCCAGCCTCCGAGCTATCAGCACAGAGCCTGACCTGGGGCTCGAACTTACAGGCTATGAGATATGACCTGAGCTGAAGTCGGTGGCTTAACTGACTGAGCCACCCAGACACACTGATAATCTCTTATTCTACTTTGTCTTCCTGGATGATCTCCCAGGAAA